AAAGCTTAAATTTCTTTTAGTTCATTGATTTTTTGTAGAATTACAGCCTTTTTTAATTAAAAAAAATCTACTTCTTCCCCAATCACTTGCAGATATTGTGCTGATTTTGGTATGTGAGCCTACCTTGATGAGTTATATATACAGTTTACATTTTGTTCTTAGACTACTTCTTGGTGATTTTTGACAGAAATATGACATTTTCAACTTTTAACAAGAACCAGATTACACTTGCCAATAGGAGACAAGTACTATTAATGCAATATTCTCAGAATGCTCTTTTTCTTTTGATCAATCCTCCAATCTCTATCCAACTGAAATTCAGGCATGTGTAAAGCTGATACAAGACCATGTTTTCTGAATTCCTTACAAAGTCCAAGAACCATAGCTACTGAGAACTTTAAATTACAAGATAACAAAGTTAGGTGACAATGCCAATTTTCATATATCTTTCTTTTGATTGGTCATAGTTTTTGTAAGTACTTTCCTATTTATCTGTCTATTCATAAATAATAGCAGTTTTGTTTCTGGTTATGTCTTTCACGTTGTGAGGCCTAGACCAGCACGCCTTGTCAACTCTCTGAAAGATGTATCTGGTGGGAAAGTGTGTCACTACCAAAAGTAGGCCTCATTACAGAACTAAATAGCCATAGTCATATCAAATTAAAATTATACCTTGCTCAATGCGAGACCAATTCTTGGGGGAAACAAGTGACAAAAAAACTCAAAACATGTAACTGTTGCCTCATTTTGGAATTATTCTAAACTTACCGGATTATATTTTTCACATCCTGGCACACAGCCTTTTATAATTCAGAAGTAGGTAACCATGGCCTCATTTTGGAATATTACGGCTATACACGTACATTGTCAACTATTAGAAATAATCATTTCTTACCTTATACCTCTGCCAGAGATTGACTGGTGGTCCTACAGAGACATTTGCATGGATGACCAGGGCATTGTAGATATTGATGAAGAAGGCCACCTTCTCATCCCGGCTAGCATCAACTATATTCACTCTCTGTAACTCTTTAGTCAGACGTACATATTTCTTGAATTCATCACTTCCAGCTATTCCTTTATAATTAACTTTCTGCAATAATCAAAATTAAAAGCTAAAACAAAATATTTATGCTTATCAAGATTAAAAGTAAAACTAAATAAATGAGTTAAATGAAATTCGTCACTTAGGCAGAACCTAAAATACCGGTAGTGAAATTCAGAGTAAAAACAAAGGCTTAACGATAGATATGAAAAACGTCACTCAACATACAACCCAATGACAGGTTATATTTGCTAACAAGGTCATTACAGAGTGCTGACTTTAAACAAAATAGTTGAATTCACTTTTATAAGATTTTTTTTTTATCCTGTTCATCTTGAGAATATCTTTAAAAGTTTTCCACCCAGTTCCTGGATCAAATTTCAATTCTCCTTAACAGATAATTTGTGGAAAGTTTAGTTGAAACTGACCTAGTGATTCTGAAGAAGAAGAAGAAGACAAAAATGAAAATGAAATACCAACTTTCAGACAACATCAGATAGATAAAACAAACAGATGCCAACCACTATGATTAGAAAAGCTCATGGTCCTTTGGCTGAGGTGATACTAATACTAGTTTTACTTTTCACTCTAAACATTCTGTACTATGAAGAATTTGAAATGGTTCTGATCTTTACAAAAAACTTACTTTTCCATCTGGTGACAAAAAGGCTGCATATATTTTTAAAATGAGTTTTCTTATATCTTCCCCCAAGTCACCAGCTGAAATAGAAAAATATATATTTTTTTTTAGACATTATAGAGTTTTCTAGAGGAAAACTTTAAAATTCAATTCTCAAGAGAATTAAAGAAGCTTTTGTTTTCTGCTAAAATCAGTGCTACTAGGTTAAATCATACCAGGTCTTGGTTCACACTGTGACATTTCTCCAGCGTTCAGAGCTGTTGACTCGTCGTCATCCATCAGTCTGTACAGCGTATCTGAGTCCTGGAAGGTCTGGTCTGACTTCAGGTTATGTCCAAAGTGTTGATCTATCAATTTCTGTCCCATCTCTACAGCCACACTCCTGTCTGAAAATTGCACAACAAATTTTAAATCAAATATAATTATGACCTTCTTGTACATAGCTGTCATGCTCGATTTCACGCAATCTCAGGGCTCTAATTGGCGACTAATTTAGCCTAAATTTTCAAGGCCACTTAGAGGCCTGAATCTCTGAGTTACAGTACTGTACATTACCTAAACCCTTGGTTTCCACAATCCAGTCAACAAATTCCTTCCCAACAAATGTGTTCTTGTGGACAGACAGGAGTCTTCTGTGGTCCTTAATTAGGCCACTCTTTCTGAGATTCTGTACCAGGATGGCATATTCATCAGGCTCACAGGAGAATTCACCTATGTCTGTAAGATTATTTACGCACAAAATTAGATTTTTTAAGCATGGCCAAACCTAAACCCACAAGGCCATGACTTGAAGCTTGTGGCAGGTTTAGTTAAAATATGGTTATAGTAAGTAGTTCTTGAGAAATAGTCAAAAACGTGAAAAATTTACAGATAACGGACACGACCGTCATGAGGCACTCTTCCTTCAGGAAAGGTGATCACGCGAGCATTTGATTCAGGTGAGCTTTAAGACAAAATTTCTTGTTAATGTATTTGGGCATAAAATTATATAAAGCAAATTTCAAACTAAATCTATTCTATTCTTAACACATTTTTCAGTTTCTTTTTTTTCTTTCTTAATTGTACAAAAAATTCAGAGAGTGACTGGTAGAATTGAAGTGATTGGATAATTATGAACAGCTAGAAGAACACGTGTTATACAAAGTTGACTTCAGGTTGTCACCTTCTTAGATACCTGAATCTGGGACTGCAGTGTCTGGATCTGGAATCTTGGGAGCATCCGCTGGAGCCTCATTATTAATCACGTCATCAAGGAGAGTCTGAAATCTCTCCTTATCTTCTATCTGTAATTCAATACATTAAAGTTCTATAAGAAAATCCATTATCAACTTTATACAGCTATATACAAACAAGATTTTTGTGCATGTGTTACTGTTCGTTTGCTTGGTGTATATGGAAAATTTCAGCTAATGTTACTCATTATTATATCCTTGTTTTAGAGAACGTGTTTATTTATAACCAAGTAAATGAAGATAGTCCAGCACAACACTGACAAGTGAATTCAATATTATATGGCCTATCTGTAGTCCCTTCCCCCTCCCATCCCCAATACAAAAACACAATACTCACCAAGGTTTGCAGATCATCATTTCCTCCAACGTGAGTAGCATTAAAGAAAATCTGGGGGACAGTCTTCTTTCCCGTTTTGGAGGTCAGCTCCTCCCTGCACTGGGGGAAACGATCCAAACTAATATCAGTGTATGGAACTCCCTTTTCTTGTAATGTATTTTTAGCCTTCATGCAATGGGGACATCCCAAGATAGAATAAACTATTACTTGTCCCTTCAGCTCCATACTTCAAATCGAAGTCATTAACAATGTTCTAAATACCCGATGAGCCGTTTACATGTGTCATGATCAATAAACCACAATGCGGAAGACAGCTTGTGACTGTACAACGAAAGGCAACTCTTGCCACGCTTCTACTTTCACTTTACAACCCTTGAGGGAGAATGTTTCCGCTTCGGTAACTCATTAACTCATGTACTTGGGGATTTCAGCTGTTTTTTTTCTCTTTTAAACCAACGTTTTGTGACAAGCCATTTACAAACAATCTTGCTTACGCTATAACAAGAGGCCCATGGGCCTCAACGCTCACCGCAGTACTTATCTCTTTGGCCATGCTGTTCTTCACCTGATTCTCCCGAATGTAATACCTATCGTGGCCCCGCCCTTACAGCAGATGTCATGATCTGAGCAATTTAAAATCTATGCTACCAAGGATGCTTCCACATAAGTGTGGCGGTCAGCCGGGTTTGATCGCCGGTGGTCAGACAGCTCAGTTGGTAGAGCACCTGACCGGAGTTTCAGAGGGCTCGGGTTCAAATCCTGGTCTGGTTCGCTGCATTTTGTCCTTTCCCTTTACACCTGGTGACGTGCCATGCCCTGGAATGGACAGGTGAAAGACCTGCCAGGGATGAGCCTGGGTTGGGGTCTTTGGAGGGCCAAAGACCTTTCAGGAGGGAGGAATGTGGCGGTCAGCCGGGTTCAGTCGCTGGTGGCCAGACAGCTCAGTTGGTAGAGCACCTGACCGGAGTTTCAGGGGGCCCGGGTTCGAATTCCGGTCTGGTCCGCTGCATTTTCTCCTCTCCCGTTACATAAGTTTCACCTTTTCTAGTCCTATGGTAATTCTTGGAGAAGATTTTTTGACCCCACCCTAGTTTTGTCTTTTCTTGATTATCTCCCCTTGGAAGGGGCTTGACCCTTCATTTTAACAATTTTTTTTTTAAACTTCCCTTTAACCAAGGATGCTTTGTACCAAGTGTGGTTGAAATTGGCTCAAAATGTTCTCGAGATGATTTTTTTTATGACTCCACCCTATTTTTGTCTTTTCTTGTTTATCTCCCCTTTGAAGGGGGTGCCCTTCATTTTAACAATTTAAACTTCTTCTTACCCAAGGATGCTTTGTACCACGTTTGGGTGAAATTGTCCAGTTCTTCTGGAGAAGAAGATGAAAATGTGAAAAGTTTACATACAGACTGACAGACAAATAACAGGTAAACGGAAAAGTTCACTTGAGCTTTCAATTCAGGTGAGCTAAAAAATAATACTAGACCATAGACTAAGTATTCAGTCAAATTAAATTAGCCCTTTGTTATAAATTGTGAACGGCCGGGGGACCTATGTCCAAAATTTTCGATGTGCATTTGTTGAAGTAGTGTACTTCAAATCTCACCACTATGTCAAATTGCATTCTACCCATTAACTAAATAACATCATTTGGACCACATCCTCAATCAGTAAAGGTTATACAAATGCACTTTTTAAAAAGTTTTATAAATTCAAAGTACATCAGACATAAAAACAACTGTGTAATAAATTGATTTTTGAGTTTATTTCAGAATAAAATTAGGAGTGAATATCAGAAGCAATATGAAAAGCCTAAATGGAGAATAGATCTACACAGTATCAAGTACAAAATTTGTATGCTGGTAACTTAACACAGTTCTATATACAACTGAAAATAGCAAACACATACACCATTCTTTGACTTCTGAATACTAAAAATAAAACACAGTAATGATGCTGTGGCAAGACATCTTTGATTATGCTAATGGAAGACGCTGTGCCACCAATGATTACTAACATAGTCCATCTGGTCAACACTGAAAGCATGAATTTTACAGGGTATTCTTATACATAATAAATGTGGATAAAGCCACAGTAAGCACATCACTAAATTCCAGCACTTTCTACAGTGGCTGGTCAACACTTAATAATCCTTCCTGGCATAAAAAACTTGTTTACTAGCGATCACTTTGTGACATTGATTTTTCAAAAAAACTTTGAATTTTTGTCACACACACTTTTTTTGCTTTTAGAGAAAAAAAAACACCTGCATTATGCTGATATTGTTTGCCATTTTCATAGTTTTACAACTGTACTGACCATGAATGAATGTATGTATTCTTTATAAACATTTTATTCAAGAGAAAGATGTTGCTGAAACTGAGAAAGTTTCAAAGAATTGTATCCATCAATCTCTTCACTCATTCCAATTTTACAACTTTTCAACTTTCATCTCTCCCTCACCAAAAAATCACTGTTTTCCATTTCATTCCAAATTCAAACTGTCAACTCATTCTTAAATCAATTAATTATCACCAGAGACGTCATAAGATACAGAAAATCAAAATATTTTATGTGAAACCAACAGATTAAAATACAGAGCGTGCACCATATTCATGAGAAGACACAAATGCAACCATGCAATGTCAAAATCATAAATTTTCCAGATGTACAAATTACTGTTAATCACAATCATACACTGCTGTTCAATTCCAGTTTTATTTGTAGATTTAATATAAGGAATATAGATATACAATATTCCATCTTCAGAATCAAATACATGTACTTCACTTGTACTTACAATGTATTTCTTTTTTTCCATTTTTTGCATATTTGTTACATGTACTATGGGAGGTCATGGTCTATAAGAGCCTCATTTAGCATAGTGGGTATTTACCTTACATCCATAATAATTTATATTTTGGCAGTACATGTGATCATAAATTAGTGCATACTCTACTAAAGCCACAAAAACATGAATTTGACATAAGTAAGTACTTGAACAGCATTAAATGTGAAACTTGAAAAATTAAAGGAACAAATGGATCAAATTTTTTTTTTTTTTAAAGAAATGAACACAAGAAAATCATAAAGGTACTTTCTGCCCACACTTTAACTTATATATTCAGCAGTAGTATTATGAACAGAACTTGTTTCTATGAAACATTTTGAAAAACAACAACATGTATATTAACTCCTAATTTCCCCAAAAGAATGGGGGTAATTTCAAATTTCATTAACAAAAACCCCTGCTTTTCTTGGGGGGGGGGGGGAGTGAGGGAAGAGGTACTTTAGTGAGAGTTCTAATTTTTAATTTTTTTTAATCAACCTATATAAATTAATTTTGACAAAACACATTTTGCAAAAAATAAAGCACACAGACACAAAAACAGATACCAGAGTGTTAAAAAACAATACACTTTTTTATGATAAGCACTGTTGTTTTTTTCTTAATATGCTTACAGTTTCGGGAGGTTCTAATGGATAAAAAATAATTTTAAAAAATCTATACAAGTTATATGGGAAAATTATTTATAAAACAAAAAATGCAGCCCCCAACGCTCTCAGAAAAGTCTCAAAAGTCTTTGAAAATACTGGTAAAAAAAAAAGTTGAAATTTAATTAATATATTACTCCTAAAACTTAATATGCTTTCAGCTACTTGTTCCCCCAAAAACCAAATTTATTTTCAGTAACAAATTTTGAACCTGATACAGAAGTAAAGAGTCAACACAAAAAAAAATGTTGTCAAGTAAAATACCTTAACAATACAATGCTATGCAACAAAATATTGATGCATTAAAGTGCATAAAAATATTACACATAAAAATACTTTTCTCTTGCACAGCTTTTTTGTAAACACATATTCTCTATCTTTCTCACCCAGTACCACCAATGAAAATAAATTATTTATTCTAACAAAAGTAAAATGTTGAAATGTTTCTTTTCTTAACTGTTTTTGTTTTTTTCAGATATAGCAACTTTAGGTCAAGTGCAAGCAAGGAATTTGACTTTTCCCCCTGCAATGCTAATTTTTAGGATCATTATTTACTTACTTATGGTATAATCTATATGTATAGCAAAAAATATTATATGTTAATGATATTATTATATATAATTAGTTATTATTAAATAGCAATTAATTATTCAAAAAGAAAATCCATTGCTATGTTTTCAGGTCCACAGAAATAAGTGACCAAGTTCAGGTTTCCGAAGTTACTATTAACTGAACATCCTGAACTAAAGAGCTACACAAGCTTTGACTTTAACCAGACAGTACATTTATTAGTGAAATCTGAATGAATCCACACAGAGAGAGAGAAGTCTTAACAACATGAACCAGAGCGATTTGGCTTGTTTCCACCATTTATGACTTGGCCCTCTGGTCTAGCATCCCTTGATGGTGACTGAAAGATAAATGATTAATTAGAACTCCAATTCAACTGACAAATATTCTATAATTAATATTTTAAAATATCTAATTTAAACAATGTCAAATTATCCTGTGTCTGGTTCAGATAAATCATAAAATGTTTGTTCTTATTGTGATTTTGTAAATTAAAGCACAAAGATTTTCTCTATTTAGTTCTCACCTTATTTAATATTGCTTGTGCTAAATCCATGAAGGCTTTTTCTACATTAATATTGGCTTTTGCACTTGTTTCTAGGAATGGAACTTCATGTTCTTTGGCAATCTACAATGAACAGTATTTCTTTTCAATAACAACTAAAGCTAAGTTCCATGCTTGAGCATATTATGCATTAATTAATAACAAAGACATTCACTAAGGCAAGAGCAAAGGGAGACTATCTATGACAAGAGCAGTAATTAAGAACTCCAAGACAAACATTAATTTTTCAACTTAAAAAATGTTGTAATTCTACCTATCCTTTTGTATGGATCAGTGCAGTGAAATGACAGAAAGTGACCTGAGCAAGATGTTGACATTCCACAAAAGTTTCAGGTAAGGATCCTAAGAATATTTTGGCTAAATATCTTTTTAATCAGGACCTTTTTTACAGGTGACAATAATAGAGGATATGACCAAATTCGTCAACAAAGAATGGCTTGGTCAAAAACTAGCTAGTGACTGACAAGGATGGAGAACCCTTGTTACAGCCCATTAAGGTCATACGAAACGTAGTTTGAACTTTACTGAGTTCTTCCCTGGAGTTGAAGAGTTCCACTAAATGAAGGACCTGTGTGCAATATTTTTAATGTCTATATATGAATTTGTACACCTCTTCTAAAACAATTTTTGATGAAAAAAATCTGGAATTTATGTTTTGTAATTTTTGTACATTTTCTTTGATGAATGAAAAAATTTCAAAATTTGATATCTTTTCAAAACCCCTGGTAACGCATGCTGATTTTTTGTCTAAGAACATGTAATGGTATTATAAGTTTAAATTTAGAATATCTTTAAAAAATTATCAGTAGGTAAGGTACCTTGCATATGTCCTTAAGCCAAAGGTGTCACTGGCAGTAAATACTAAGACAAATACCATTTCAGTGTGATATTTTGTTCACAATTTTAAAAACAGCAATGCATGCTGCTTGACCCATAAATCTCATTTCAATTTTGATGTAATACTACTGAATACTTTATGTAGTGTGAACAAAACAGTTAAAAATCAAATTGATACAGCAGACTTCAATTACCGGTACAATCTTGTCATGACCAATCAAATATCACATGAAAGAAATGCTAATTTTTCTAAAACTGTTTTTTTTTTTTTTACATTGCTTTAATAAACAGATTCTATATCAAATCTGATATACCCTTTCTTCCTGTATGAAACAGGACACAAAAAAGGCCAAAAAATTTGCATTACAAAATATATTTATAAAATAAAATTAATTTAAATTTGCCCATCTCTAAGTAGGGCAAAAATGAAATGGGGGCAAAATTTCCCTGTATACAGTAACTTTATCAACTTACAGCCTCTCCCCGTTCTTTAGACACTTGTCTTTTATTCTCCATGTCACATTTGTTTCCAAGGATCATTTTCTCCACATCTTCATTGGCATGCTATAAAACAAACAAATGTGTGACTTTACAGACTTATAACTGCAATATGAACTTGTCTTATTATAACAATTTGATGCATTCTGACAATTAGCATTAAGAAGGGGATGACTTATTTTGACATTTAAACATGTTAGTAAATCTACTAATTAGAAATCAGAAACTGTCTCTTTTATAAGAGATAATAAGAACAATGCTAATTTCAGATCAGATTTAAAGGAAAATCATAAACATATATGTAAGTAATAGAAAAACAGTAAAGACCATGGCACGTTTCAATACAAATTAAGCCCTATATTTTTCTAAAATATGAAAGTGATATAAGAAATCAAAATTCATTCTTTCTGAATCATAGGAATTCCCTTCAGTAAGAATACACAAATCATTTTTCTCATATGACCTCCTATATGCTAATTGTGACATCATTAACTTGTGCATTTTCCCGTATTTTCTTAAACCAGAAGTCTCTGTCAAGACTGAAGCTCTACTGGTTTGTACTTATAGCAAAGGAAGAGAAAAGTACTTAAGCAGTTAGAAATTGAAACTTTTCAACAGCAATAAATAGAATACTGATTCTTGATTAAGTCTCTTTATGTTCTTAGTGTAGTCTACTTGCATGCCACATTATATCATAACCAGACTAAAACAGTTATTTGGAGTAGCATTTTGAGAGTATTTAACAGAAATTTCTATTTTTAGTAACCACGGCAACACCGTTCATCTAAATCAAAAACCGATACACAGAATTATGTATCTTAGTGTAGTCTACTTGTGTGCCAAGTTATATTGAAATCAGACCAAAACTGTAGGAGGAGTAGCATTTTGAAAGAATTTCACAGAAATTTCTATTTTTAGTAACCATGGCAACACCGTTCATCGAAATCAAATACCGATAAACAGAATTATGTATCTTAGTGTAGTCTACTTGTGTGCCAAGTTATATTGAAATCAGACCAAAACTGTAGGAGGAGTAGCATTTTGAAAGAATTTCACAGAAATTTCTATTTTTAGTAACCACGGCAACACCGTTCATCTAAATCAAAAACCGATATAAAGAATTATGTATCTTAGTGTAGTCTACTTGTGTGCCAAGTTATATTGAAATCAGACCAAAACTGTAGGAGGAGTAGCATTTTGAAAGAATTTCACAGAAATTTCTATTTTTAGTAACCACGGCAACACCGTTCATCGAAATCAAAAACTGATACACAGAATTATGTTTCCTAGTGTAGTCTACTTGTGTGCCAAGTTATATTGAAATCAGACCAAAACTGTAGGAGGAGTAGCATTTTGAAAGAATTTCACAGAAATTTCTATTTTTAGTAAACACGGCAACACCGTTCATTGAAATCAAAAACCGATACATAGAATTATGTATCTTAGTGTAGTCTACTTGTGTGCCAAGTTATATTGAAATCAGACCAAAACTGTAGGAGGAGTAGCATTTTGAAAGAATTTCACAGAAATTTCTATTTTTAGTAACCACGGCAACACCGTTCATCGAAATCAAAAACCGATACACAGAATAATGTTTCTTAGTGTAGTCTACTTGTGTGCCAAGTTATATTGAAATCAGACCAAAACTGTAGGAGGAGTAGCATTTTGAAAGAATTTCACAGAAATTTCTATTTTTAGTAACCACGGCAACACCGTTCATCGAAATCAAAAACCGATACACAGAATTATGTATCTTAGTGTAGTCTACTTGTGTGCCAAGTTATATTGAAATCAGACCAAAACTGTAGGAGGAGTAGCATTTTGAAAAATTGTTTACAGACAGACAGACGGACAGACAGACAGACAGACAGACAGACGGACGGACCAGTAGAGCTAAAAATTGCACAAGACATCAATTTTAAGTGGAATTTTCTTTCTGAAAACATACTCTACCACCGTCGCCCAGAAAGATTTTGAGATATGTGATTTTTCATAGCAGTTTACATAATATATCCAAAAATTAAAGTGGGCGACGGTGGCAGACACTATTTTCTAAAGGAAAATTGGTACAAAAATGAGTCTTTTTGAGGCTTTTCTGCATTAAACTTAGAAATATACCAAATTAATGACGTCATATTTTCAGAAAAGTCCTCCTTAATGCCATATTCTTTAATGATTTATCATATTCATCTACTCAACTATTGTTAAAGCCAATTTCATAACTTTTTAAGAACATTAATTTTTTAGGGCACAATAAAGCTCAAACTGTACCTTCTTCTTAATGCAAATGTCTATGCAGATCACAGGCCTTTAGATCGCTTAGAAAAAAATTGAGGTGTTGAAAAAAAAAATAAAGGTATGGAACTCTTTTCACAGGGTACCTACTTTCGCCAATAAAATTCTTTTAAATCAAATGCTTTACAATTTTACTTTTTACCCATATCTATTCATATATAAACAATCTTCATTACTACCAAATTTCATTCCGTAATTTCTTATACTTCTCGAGATATTCTGAAATCAATTCCAAAATTGACCTTAATTTTTTTACTCAACATCAGCTTGGGCCTTCGGAGGGCTACACTAATTTTTAAGCGGGAACGACGGGACAAATTTTCCCCGGAGTTTATACTAAAGTCAATGAATATTTGCTCATTTGCGTTTGAGCTTTACATGGATTTTCTCTAATTTGATCATATGATCTTACTAAGTCACAAACAACATTTTAGCTGTCTAATTGTTTTGAAAATCGAAAGGTATAAAATGCATTCCGGGAAAAAATCGTTCGACCATAGCTTCTTTTACATTCATAATCAATATGGCTGTGTAGTTGTTGATGCAGACTTTTTCAAGTTAATTTTTCGCGAAAGGAATTAATACGGACTTAACCTTACAATCCGGAGTAAGAAATCAACTTTAAAATGTTGAAAGATCTTGCAAATACTATGCAACTCTTCGCTGCACTTCAAACACCGTCTGTTTACATGTGAATGGCTAGGGGCCCAAGCTAATGTCGAGTAAAAGAAAGTAGGTCATTTTTGAGATTGATTTCAGAATATCTCGAGAAAAATATGGAATTTCGGAATGAGCTTTGGTAGAAATGAAGAATGTTTACCTATGAATAAATTTAAATAGAAAGTAGAATTTTAGAGCATGTGAATAAAAAATATTTTATTAGCGCAATTTGGTACCCGGTATAAGAGTTCAGTACCTTTATTTTTTTTTTACACACAATTTTTTTTCAAGCGATCCAAAAGCCTGTGATGCAGATCATGAGCTAGAAGGCAGTAAAGTGTGTCTTACTTCCACAATTACAGTACCAAAGTTGATTTATTTTGTTCTATAACCTTTGTTACCATTACCTCCCTTTGCAATACTGAATACAAGTCAACTAAATCTAGACTATCATAAACACTGTGCTGCATTATTATATATCGTCAAAGTCATTCTGCTAAAGACGAATGTGAAAATATACCAATATACCTAAATACAAACAAAATTGTTACATATCAGTATGATACGTCATCACAGTATGAAACCCTGTATCACAATACACGTATATATTGAGCAATAAAAACTCTCTTTTTTTGCTGAACCTAATAAAATGATTTTCAGATTTATTTTGCCAATTTTCTTGTGACCAGCTCATCATTCAAGCCTCCTTACCTCATCAATATTTCGTAACCATTTGGAGATATTTTCAAATGTTTTGGGGTTAGTGATGTCGTACACCAGCATGATGCCCATAGCCCCCCTGTAGTAGGAGGTGGTGATGGTGTGGAATCGCTCCTGTCCAGCAGTGTCCCTACAAAAATAATATTCAATAAATACTCTACTGACTTCATTAACTGATTCATCTTATACTTACTGGCATTTACGGAATAAGTAAGAATACAAAATGACTTTTTACTGATTTATCTTATTAAAGTTAGCTCTTTTCCTTGAAGTTTGTTTTTATGTAGACAATGCACGAAATAAAGACCATGGAATGCAACTTATGCTCATACATATGCTGCTTTCTTACAACTATATGAAATAACCTTTTAGTCTCAAAATCATGAATTTTTAGACTAAAATACTTAAACACACTTACCATATCTGTAATTTAATTTTCTTTCCACCAAGTTCAACTGTTTTGATTTTGAAATCTATTCCTGAAATGAAATGTGACAAGTCATGAAGTGTGATTTGATTTTTGTAAGTGGGTTATAATGAAATTCTTAACACATCAATCTATAAAATTAAATCAATAGTTGGTAATAAACACAAGAGTTCAAACTTAGTCCTGCTGACAATACTGAAGAGACAAGTCACATGTGTCATCATTCATTCATAAAAACATGTATGATACAACTTTCATTTTAGGGATGCAGTGACATGCATCAACAATTAGGTTCACTTGCAGCGTTGCCCAACTGAACTTTGACTTATCTGAATGCAATAACTAGGTTTATACAAAAAATTTAAAGAAAAAGACTTCAGTTTTGTAAATGATCATAAAAAGTATAACCGTCTGGGGCGTCAATTTGGCAATATTAAAAAATCGTTAATGCTTTATTTGTACATACCTGTAGCATTACATTTATGAGTATGCCACTGTCCTTATACTGATATACAGCTATTAGCCCTAATTTCTTTTTAATATTTAATTTTTTTTTTTTATTAAACAGGTATGTAATTTCTCTTGTTTTCTGATTTGAAAAACTTAAGCATTAAGACCACTAAAATATGACAAATAAGTGAAAAAGTTTTCATTAATATTTGTTGCCACTTTAGGGTGATAGGAAAGTTGGGATTTTTTTCCTTCATGGAATAGATCTTCCAATCTCTGATATCATAATGATCATGGGGTTTGATTGTGTGGTATAGGACATTACTTCGTCTATGAGAGTTAAAACTGCTGGGCTTTTCTTCATCACAATATTCTGGCAATACTCAGACTCATATTGCATCATCAAACGTGTTCTGAATGGATGAGTTAGATCTAAGTTTACTTTTACTTCCAAATAGGTAATCTGTACTTTAATTTAAATGTCATGTTCAATTCTACACAGACTGCAGTGATAGACCATAGGCCTTCAGGAAGTTACTTCCACGGGTCAGTGAGAGGATCATTATAATGAAAGTCATGTTCCTGTCCGAGCCGAGTAAGATGCTTCATGTCCAACACCTATATCATATTACTACTGCTCACCAGGAAAGGAATTTGAAGAATGAGATCACCCAACATCATCAACTTACCTATAGTGGATATAAAAGTTGTGTTGAAAGCGTCATCAGAAAATCGAAATAAAAGACACGTTTTTCCAACACCAGAGTCACCAATAAGAAGCAATTTGAATAACAAATCGTATGTTTTTTTCGCCATTTTTCCTCATTCAACTAGTAGAATATTTGTTAAAAGATGGCGGATTTGAACCTTTTATAATTAGTCGCAGATAAGATGAAGTTTCACTTCCACTGATTAGGTATTAGTTTCTTCAAAAATAATCATGTCCAATAATGAAACAATAGGCTATACATTTAACTTTCTTCTATTATTAGCCATTAACCGATCAATATAATTAGAAGACTTGTGATGGCTGTCTGAGATGATGATGTCACTTCCGTCTGTAATCTAAAATCGGATGGACTGAGAAATTCCGAATTGCAGATGGGCGGGGTTGACTATCATTGTGGATTAAATAATTATACAATTATATATGTAATAAATTACAGATTTTTCAGTCTTATTTTTTGGAAACTTGTGCATTTTACTAAACATGTACGGAAGGAAACTTTTAGGAAGAGCATCAGCTTTCAAGGGGGGGGGGGGGGGGGGTCAATAGTGACTTTAAAAAAGACATTATAAAGAAACGAATAAGTAAACAAATTATGATAATATAATAATAACATAAAAAATCTAAAAATATATTTTAAAACACAAACATTATTTAAAGAATAGAAAAGAAGTCTATGTTGACTTAAACATTATGTAAAAAAGGGGGAGGGGTGCAAGGGAAAAATCATTTACCTTACAATTTTGTATATAAATGTATTGTTGTCATATTACTGAAAACTGAGTAATTTTTTTTTTAAGTTTTTCTCCTCAATAATTATGAATACTTATATTAAGGATAGGGGTTGGAGTATGCCTGGGCTCCTTAAGGTTTTGGCTGCAGATGCATACAAGTATTTCATGAAAATTGCTTACAGTAAACCCACCAACAGATTTGTTAATTTATCAAACTCATTTTCCTTTCTTCTTCTAGCACATTCAGACCTGAAGGTTGCAATTTCAGTTTTTGGGGGAGACTGAGATGAGATGGGGGTTTGCACTAAGCAAATATTTGCAGTTTTTAGGTGGGCATTAAGCAAAATTTCCCAGACAAGCAGAAAAAAGTTATTTTATGCTATATGTCAGCAAGATTTGAGTTGGGTTACACAATGATATCCTATGGCCATGATATTTGTTTACCTTCCTCCATCGGACACTTATTTAAAGGAAATACTACCACTATAAAATCTCCCATTTAGTGACTCAGCTAACCTGCTGTAAGCATGCATTTTGGAAAACAATCTGATGTTAATTACTGTAGGTCTTCAAACTTAATGACCATGTCATCCAATCTCATGTTCACAATATTGATACCTGGTTTATTTTTGTGAAATGACTTTTTATAAAAAAGCCTAGCGATTTCTATTTAATGAGGTCATAGATATACTTTAAACTCATTTTCCGCAACAGGAAAACATCTTAAGGTTGGCTTGATCATAGTTAGGATTAACTAGTATGTAATTTGATCAGGTTCAAAGTTCTGAGGTTACTTAAATGACAGAAGTATGCCTCCTATACCTCTTGAGTATTTACACATATACAGTTACATTTTTTATGCGCCCGGATTGATAGATCCGAGGCGTATAATGTTTTTGTCCTGTCTGTTTGTCTGTTTATTTGTTTGTCTGTCTGTCTGTTGTCAACTTTAACCTTCGCCATAACTTTTGAACCATGAGATATAGAGACTTCATATTTAGTATGCATACTTGACCAATAAAGCTCTTTCAAATGGCACCAAGGTTAATTACCTTGTGACCTTGACTGTGACCTATATGCTAAAAATAGCTTTTTCGAACTTTCGCCATAACTTTTGAACCATGAGAGGTAGAGACTTCATAATTGATATGCATACTCCACTAATAAAACTCTTTCAAACGACACATAGGTCATGACCTTGTGACCTTGTCTGTGACCTATATGCTAAAATTATCGTTTTCGAACTTTCACCATAACTTTTGAACCATGAGAGATAGATATTTCATATTTGGTATGCATACTCCACTAATAAAGTTCTTTCAAATGACACCAAGGTCAATGACCTTGTAACCTTGACTGAGACTTATCTGCAAAAAATAATTTTTTTGAACTTTGTTACCACCGAGCGCATAGTGTTTCACAAACACATCTTGTTTTTTTCATAAAATTCCCACTGATCGAGCTCCTTAATTGTCATTAAGCATTGGAAACAAGTCTAGGGAAAAATAATTCAATTTTTCCATTCAGAATTTGTATATATTATGCTTACATTTCAATCAATATCCCTTTTTTCTCTGCACAAACTTATATTATCTCCAAATTTATTTTAATTTAGTCGTAATAATAATTATGCACTAACGGGTTTCCACGTTCAATCTACATCATATCATTTTCACTGATTATACCATCCAACTTTTTTATGTTTTATTTGCATGAGCTGTACATGTCATGACCTTACGCTTTTATCATATTTAACAAAACAATTAAAAGTGTGAGACCAACACCTTAAGGTTAAAATTGCGGAAGATTCTCACATGTGGATACCGAAAGGTATTCAATAGGGTCTGTAACTTAAGTTTTTAAGTTTTATCATATTTTTAAAGTGATTGTAGCTGTCCAGCTGAATTGATTTTCAGTTCATATCTTGAATGTTAAGTCATTTGAACGTCTTTACTCTGTGAGCAATACCTGTTACATGTAGCTATTTTTGCTCATGCAGTTGATATAAATAATATGCCATGGACCTTCACCCAAAATAAAATCAGAAAGTTCAAGATCAGTTATGTTTGTATACAATGTATACCAGTTTTACTTTTGAACGGCCCTTATTTCAAAGACACATAAAAGAACTTTAAACTGCTGTGACATAGATATGTTATGACCTTGACCCAATGTCTTATACAGAGGTCAAGGTTAGCAATCTTACAAACCACTCTGTTTTTCATCAGACAATAACATTTCCAGCACATTTGCAAAACTGTGCAATATATAAAATGCTATTCCAAAATCAAGACATTTATAACTAAAGAATCTCTCATGTCATGGAATTTAAATATAATATTCCTCTGGCATAGTTTCATCTGTGGAAAATAAAAAAGACAAAAAAAAAAGTTAAAACAAGTTTAATTCACTTATCTATAAAACTTTGTTGATTATTACAACTATGATGAGCTTAAAACATTTGTACTTCCCTTGTACTTTGTATGTTAACTACTGTCATCATCTGTACTTACTTTAAGCTTACAGCATTTGTGGAAATGTTTCTACAGCTACTTTTTAAAAGTCTTACCAGTAGTTTTATTTAAAAGAATTAAATAAATATAAGAAGAAGAATAAGAACCAAACATCAATATTGAAACAAGAAACTGACAAAGTCATCTAGGACCTCACTGCATACTAATTTTAATATTATCCACCTACAAAGTTTGAAATTAAGATTGGTGTCTTTTTTTTGTAGTGAATTTCAATAAGGAATCTGCATACTGATTTCTTTTGTACCTAAAACTGTGTTCCTGTGAAAGTTAACCATAATTATATTTACATGTATGTTGATAATAGCTTTTTGCCCTTGACATTTGATCAGGTGATTCTAATTTAGAAATAATTCTCCATTCTCCAGAGGGTGTCTATGTTTTTTGATAAAAATATTCAAATCATAAGTTACAAAATGTCAAAGTTATTGAATCGAAATGGAAACATCAACAAACTTGACCTTCAACCTTTGACCTAGAAACTGGAGGTGTCCTTGTTAAACCATTCTCCACCTTGGTCTGTAAGGTAAAATGATATCTACTTATATGTAGTTAATATACAAACTAGACAGATAGACCCAGTGATTACTTAAGAACACCAACATCCTGATGCAGTTTGCTAATTATTTATTTTCTAAATAAAAAAAAAAGAAATTATAGTAGCTAAAAACTTCCAGATTTATCCCATTCCAAAAAAAGAACTTTGTTTCTCACATGAATCAACAGTGTATGAGAATGAATACTTTTCACAGATTAAAAAAAATATTGACATCAGTCCTTAAATTATCAACAGTACCACTACCACAAGCCAATATTATTGTAAACTCTAAACTTTCACATAAAAATGATCTACAGCTCTTGCCATCATTAATTATCAGTGATTAAAAGTGCATGATCCACTATTAATGAGCAAAGGTACAGGGATTTTTGTTTAGAAAAAATGCATGCATTTAAATCATACATCACTGACACACACAAATAAAACTTTTTTTATTTACTACACCATATTTTAACCAATAAAAATATATACTGAAAATAAGCAGCCAATACATTGTACCTTTATAAAGCACAAACATGGCAAGTAATACATGTAATATGACTGAAACAGGAAAATTGGGACCAACCATTTTAAAACTTATACACGTAATTTTCAAATAAAATCATGGCAGTTTTTCTAAAACAAATGTTATGCAAAAGGTCAAAAGTTAAAACATATTTCCGATCTTCTGCTTTTCTTTGGAAGTAATTTGTATTCAAAGCTGCAGTTATCAAATTAATATCTGTTGACAAGGCCAGCACAATGTTTTTTTCATTTTAATTTATCTATAAGGATCTTGATTTTGGGGGAAAAATAAGAAAGTTTAAAATTATTGTGAAACTGCAATTTCCATCTGCATTTCGGGACTTCATGACATGAACACTTAGTTTGTTATTATCTGTGTACTCTTTGGTGGGATTCAAAAGAAAATTTTACCTAATGCAAAACAGAAGAAAAATATTGTTCTGGTCTAATAAAAGTTTATCACAACCAAATCTTTTATAAAGTAGAGACATTGTAAGAACACATTATATAAATCAATAACAGTAAACACTTCAATACAATCTTTGTGCTCTCAAAGAAGGTTTTATTTGGACACATGGACATACCGTTTGGATGAATGCCACCATTTTTAAATGAGTAGTAAATATCCTTTTCACTCAAATTTTAACATATAATGTAAAACAATTTCATAATAAAATGTACAAGTTGTATTTTTAAGAAACCCACATTAATTAAGCAATCATACTATTAGGACAATAGGTCAGACAAACATTCCACAAATTTTCCCCAAGAACTTGTGATTGAAGTACAGGTAATGCTACTTTCAACCCATTTCCTTGAAAAAAAATTGAGACACGTTAATCACCAGACATTTGAGTAAGATATCTTTATAATCCTATAGGATATTAAATTGCTGAGAACATTTTTGTGTTTATATATTTTAAGGCATTTCGAAAACAGTTGAACAAAGAGTATAAATTCAAATATCAGAGGAATGTATCATTAGATCTTAAAAAAAAATACAGTAATGAAGTCTCTAATAACACTTAACTAGTATAGCTCTACTGATTTGAACTTGTGATAAAATTTTAAAAAGTTTACTGATATTCAAAAAAAAAAAAATGTTTAACGAGCAATCATTTATTTAAATGAAGATGGATAAAAAAAGGTAGACAGACAGATGAACTTGGACACTTTGCCAATGCATTACTTCCCTTGTTTTTCATCAGTTGAGCTAAAAATGGAGTGGTATCTGAATTTTGGAGTTTCATGCAGCACCTTCAAATGCACATTGTGTACACAAACTATTAACACTCATAATCAAGGAGTCCTATAATAAATGAATGATAATTTTTTTTCATTAGAAATGACTAATGCGTATCTTACAATTCAGCTCAAGTATGCACTATATACATCCGATAAATTTGTATATACAAAGAGAGCAATAAATATTGTACAATTCACCTTGTCATGATTGAACAGTAGTTAAATAGTGTTTGTATCTACATAAAAAATAACAATTTATCACAGAATGAGGAGGGGTGAGATGAGTACAGACATTGTCTGTGTGTCTGTGAGTGGGAGGGGGCCCAGCATCAGAATCTAGTTCTTTGTCGGAACAAGTCAGGACTTTAAATATCTGAAATACACGAATGTATAAATAGTTAATAAAATGCATGTATAACTGCATGGTTTGATCTCCCTTTCCCAGATGCATTACTAATTTAAGTTGATGTAATGATACATATACTTTTATAGAAATGTAAATATACTTTTTATTCTCATTAAGAAGTACAATTGTATTGACCTACATATTAGCCTCAATTTCCCTATAAACAATGTTGGCCATGTATACATACTTTGAAGCCCAGTCGGTGCGTCCATGTGTTTTGGTATTCCCTCCCAGGGGCTGGCGATATCCTGCAGAGTTCTTGTTGTTTATTGATAATGGTGCTGGCTGAGCTCTCTTCCAATTCACGGAAGGATAATCTATAATCAAAACAGGAAACTTTATGACAAAATTTCAAATTAAATTTATTAAGTCAACACTAACAGCTACAGTATGTGTGTTCACTGTCAACCTCCATACATCAAGTTACATTTTGTCATGTTATAAATTCATACAAATATAACCATTACCTTGGTGTTTGTTATTAATTCTAATTTACAAATACAGATTTGTCAGCATTATCCTCGAAGTAATTTGACATTGCCTATGATAAATGTTCATATTGTTATATCTATAGTATTTGAAAGGCTTGCTCAACTTACAACTGGTTAAACAATGTCAATTGTTTAACACATTACTTACTTGAACCACCTTTGGTATTGGATAAAAATGACGGTACATAGCTGGAGTTGTCAGCATTGTTTCTCATGCCATAACTACTGGGCCCCCCACCTGTCAAAAGACCACATTCACTTCATTATTATTTAAATAAGTATAGAGTCAGACACCAAACATTTCTGATGTTGAAAGAAAAATAAAACATAGGTAATCAGAGATTACAGAGCTCACCTCAACGAATGTTGTCTTTAAGTAAGGCAAAGTCACACAATTAACCAACAAAAAGTATAGATTCCAAAAATGAAAATATTTAAGGAATTTTGATCTGATACTTTGAAATAGACCTACATAAAAAATTTAAACTAGTTCTTCTTCATGAAAATGTAATGAAAATCCAGCATCTGAAGCAAATTTGAGAGTTTTCATCTCTTTGCAGCATTTGTGCAAGTTTGGTTTATACAATGTTATATAAACCTTATAATTTTTGGTAATAGACCTGCAACCATATCTTTTACCTTGTCTATTATCTGAAAAATGTATGTCGAATTCAGTTGAATTCAGCATCCGAAGCAAGTCCATTAGTGTGCATCCTTAGATGTATCATCCATGCAAGTTTGCTCATTATAGGGCTCATAGTTTATTGGAAATGAAACATGCATCAAAAACTAACATTTTCACTCATCCACAAAAAGTAGGTCAGATTCAGCATCCGAAGCAAGCCTGGTATTATGCATCCTTAGATGTATCATCTATGCAAGAATGGTCATTAAAGAACTCATAGTTCCTTGGAAATGAAACCTGCACCAAAAACTTTTACCTGTTCACTCAACCGCAAAATGTAGGTCAGATTCAGCATCCGAAGCAAGCCTGGTAGTGTGCATCCTTAGATGTATCATCCATGCAAGTTAGATAGACATAGGGCTTATAATTACCGGTACTTGGAAATGAAACCTGCACCAAAAACATTAACCTGTTCTCTCAACTGGAAAATGTAGGTCAGATTCAGCATCCGAAGCAAGCCCGGTAGTATGCATCCTTAGATGTATCATCCATGCAAGTTTGGTCAACATAGGACTTATAGTTACTTGAAAATGAAACCTGCACCAAAAACTTTAACCTGTTCACTCAACCGGAAAATGTAGGTCAGATTCAGCATCCGAAGCAAGCCCGGTAGTATGCATCCTTAGATGTATCATCCATGCAAGTTTGGTCAACATAGGGCTTATAGTTACTTGGAAATGAAACCTGCACCAAAAACTTTAACCTGTTCACTCAACCGGAAAATGTAGGTCAGATTCAGCATCCGAAGCAAGCCCGGTAGTATGCATCCTTAGATGTATCATCCATGCAAGTTTGGTCAACATAGGGTTTATAGTTACTTGGAAATGAAACCTACACCAAAAACTGCACCAAAAATGTTAACCTGCTCCAAAAACATTAACCTGGTGATTCATTTGCTGAAATTGCAGCATCTGAAACTTTGTCTGGTACAATGAAACATACTAAAACCATCTTCCAGGCATGTCTAATCAATATAGGACACAGAAGTAATTAAAAAGAAAACTGCTCCAAAAAACTTAACCTTAACCTGGGACGCCGACGCCGACACCGACGCCGAGGGTATCACACAAGCTCCCCCCAACTTCATTGAGGTGAGCTAAAAATAAAACAAGAGGCCATGGGCCACATTGGTCACCTGAGCACTGTGGCTAGGAAAAAGGAGAAATTGGTTTATTATTGAAAAGTTTAAATCCAAAAGTAGTCCCATGACCAATCATCGCTTTGCTACTCTTGAGAAAATGATTTTTAAAGAATTTTCCTATATATGTCTATTTAAAACTTTGATCGGCCATTGTGGCTCCGCCCTACCCCCGGGGGTCATGATTTGATCAAACTTGAATCTACACTACCTGAGGATGCTTCCATATAAATATGATCAATTATGACTTTGCTTTTCTTGAGAAGTAGATTTTTAAATAATTTTCCTATATATATATTTCTTTGTTTTACTTTGTTTGGCCATCCCCCCTCCCCCGCCATACCCCCGGGGGTCATGATTTGAACAAACTTGAATCTACATTATCTGAGGATGCTTCCATATAAATATGATCAATTATGGCTTTGCTTTTCTTGAGAAGAAGATTTTTAAAGAATTTTCCTATATATATATTTATATGTAAAGCTTTGGTTGGCCATTCCCCCCCTCCCCCCTATCCCCGGGGGTCATGATTTCAACAATGCTGAATCTAAACTATTTTAGGATGCTTTCATATGAATATGATTAATTATAACTTTTCTATTCTTGAGAAGAAGATTTTTTAACAGAATTTTCCTATATATTTCTATGTAAAACTTTGGTCGTCCATTGTGGCCTAGCCCTTCCCCTGGGAGTCATGATTTGAATAAACTCGAATCTACACTACCTGAGGATGCTTCCATAAAAAATGATCAATTATGGCTTTGCTGTTCTTGAAAAGAAGATTTTTAAAGAATTTTCCTATTTATTTCTATGTAAAACTTTGATAGGCCATTTTGCTCCCCCCCCCTACCCCAAGGGGTCATAATTTCAACAAACTTGAATGTGCACTATCTGAGGATGCTTCCATATAAATATGATCAATTATAGCTTTTCTATTCTTGAGAAGAAAATTTTTAAAAGAATTTTCCTATATATTTCTATTTAAAACTTTGGTCGGCCATTGTGGCCCCGCCCTACCCCCAGGGGTCATGATTTGAACAAACTTGAATCTACACTACCTGAGGATGCTTCCATATAAATATGATCAATTATGGCTTTGTTATTCTTGAGAAGAAGATTTTTAAATAATTTTCCTATATATTTCTATGTAAAACTTTGGTTGGCCATTGTGGTCCCGCCCTACCCCCGGGGGTCATGATTTGAACAAATTTGAATCTACACTACCTGAGGATGTTTCACCATAAGTTTCATCTTTCCTGGCACAGTGGTTCTTGAGAAGAAGATTTTTGAAACATGCCACCAAATTTTCATTAATTCCCAATTATCTCCCCTTGAATGAGGGCTCGGCCCTTCATTTGAACAGACTTAAATCCCCTTCACCCAAGGATGCTTTGTGGCAAGTTTGGTTGAAATTGGCCTAGCGGTTCTTGAGAAGAAGTCGAAAATGTGAAAAGTTTACAGACAGACAGACGGACTGACAGACGGACTACAGACAAAATGTGAGCAGAAAAGCTCACTTGAGCCTGCGGCTAAAAAAGACACTTTTTATAAACGATTCAAAATACAGGTTAAAATGTTCATTTTTCTGCCATGATCCCGAGAATTTGAAATTTCATGTGCAGGCAGTTCATATCACATGTATACTGTTGTAGTGTATACTTTGAAAAGCTAACTCAGTTACAATCCTGTGTCAATGAACCCTGTAAAATCTTACCTAAGGTCCCCAGGTTGGTGTTTTTAGCCCCCATGCTGGGCAAAGCCCCCACAGAGGGTTTGGATGGAGTGTTCCATAAACTGTTAGGACTGTCTTTCTTGGCACTATTTCTTGGGTTTATACCTGCAAAAATATTCAATCATTTACAAGGGCATAAAGAACAAAGTATTCTCTCATGAGTTTATGAGTATTTAACTTCAAACAACAGCTTGGGATTACTTCAAATGACATTACTTAGAGCTGTATTCCAAAATGCATTCTTTTTCAAGTAAATTGCAATAGATTTGAAAAACCACAGAAAATATGCAAAAAAACATCATTAATTTTGTATGGGTAAAAAGTACAGCTTAGAATCATATGTATCAATACAGGCTAAGCAAGCCTTAAACTGAGGAATCAATAATATAAAGGGGTCAATGTTTGTGGGCAGCAAAATTTTACTTGTTCATGGGGACATAATTTCATGAGTTCCTTCTCATTTAAACCATTGTTTAACTTCTTGGGGATGTAAATTCATGGGTAAGGTTGATCCAAGAAATCCATGAACAGTGTTTTCCCATGAACAATGATGCTTCCAAATTATTCAATATCAAAACGATTCTTATTTAGTGACATTTACAACTTATCTATATACTTTCATGAGTACCAGTAGCTGCAATAATGTAGCCCTCTCCAATTTTTTTTAATCTGATGTTTTCTGGAGAGGGCTACAATTCCATCGCATCTCCGTAATGGTGCAAAAATTTTTTTTTAATAGGAGCGACTGCAGGCAAAATAAATTATTTTTACATTCAACTTACTTCTAATAAGACGAATTTTTTATTCACTGTCAACAGTAGACCCCGTTAAATGTGAAAAACTTGTAAAATAACCCTGCATGTTTCCTGGTAGTTTACTTCAGCAGCCATGACAGTTCACGCGTGACGTAATGAGACTTTCCCTTGAAATTTAGAACAACTGAATAAAGCAATTATCGGTGTTTATAAATGTATGTGCTGAACTTCATCACAAAAACATAGGTATATAAAACCATTTTAAGTGTTATTTTTATGCAAGCAGCGATATTTATGTTTAAAATAAGGGAATTCCAAAAAGATCCGCTCCTATAGAACCTAAATTCTCATTGGCTGTCCCAAAATACAATCGATCAAGGTCAGTAAACATGGCGGATAAATTCGAGTTGTGATGTTGACATACACGAAAAATAAGCTATATAGGGATCGTTCTGTATATTTTTGAATTGGTTTACGTCTTGGATGACTACTTATTTGGAGTCAAGGTAAGAAATGTTAATAAAATAGCCATTTACTGTTAATTTGAGCCTAAATCCGTGCGGGAGCAAATCACTCCCGCAGCTGCACCATTATGAAGATCCTAAGGAGTTGTAGCCCTCTCCCAAAAAAAAAAAAAAAAAAAAAAAAAAAGGGAGAGGGCTACATTATTGCAGCTAGAGTACCAGTAATTCTCAAAATCCTCTTGCTGCCTGTGACCTATTCTGGATAATTTAATTCATTCATATATGTTTACTGTTACCAGTAAGTTATATCCTTACTAAACTGCTATGCAATTTGTGTTTATAAAAGTGGAGTTCCTACCTGGCAAGTATCGCGCCTTCCCCAGGTAATGTTGCTTGGCTGAGGAGGCAGAGGACCGCCCTGAAGGAATTCTATTGGCCGGCTTACTGGGTTTCTTTAGTATACTCCTACAACAAAAACAATCAATTCAATAACATCCTTGTATTCTCTCTTCACATTAACTCAAGTTATCATTATTTTAACACAATTAATTTTTTTCCATCAGGACGATAAAACTTCTGGTTTTAAAGCTAACTAGGAAACAATTGTTATATTATATATTGTTATCCTACTGTAATCTGTGTAAATACTGAAATATAGAGGAATTTCTCTTTGCTATCAAGTGTGAAGTTCAACCTTGGGACAATTATTATGATCTTATGCAAACTTTTACATTAAAAAGTTTTAATGAAATGCAATTTTTACTTGCTTTTAATTAAGTTGATAATTTTTCATTTTTTTCTTTTATTCAAAGCATCTTGAAATATGAATTACAAAGTACATGTAATACAAAACTTACGATAAGAAGTCATCTTCATCATCAAAATGATTTTCTTTATGCATCACACTCTGTTTCTTTGGTTCAAATTTTGGCTTGTTACCAATAGGAGGGATAATATTTTTAGAGGTGTTTTTCTTGGGGGAGGTACCGAAATCAAAGTCGTCCCAATCGTCCCACGTGTCAGAGAGGCCCGCCCCCCAACGTTTACGTCCGCTCGGTTGCTGCTTCTTCTTCACAGAGACCGCAAAAGGTTCCTAGAGAAAAAGACATTTTTTATTAAGGAACATGTAGCAAATGAATATGTGTTCTGATTCAGACAAATATCTAACGAATCCAATTCTTTAAAATAGAATCAGAAGAATGAAGATACATGTAGATGTTTAAAATAATCAGAATCTAAATAATAATTATAAGAATAAAAGTAGAAAAAGGTAAATAAAAGTAGAAAAAAGTTTGAATTTTTCATTTTTTAATCAAAATAAAATGCAAGTAATGCTTTTTAATATGCTCAGCTGTATGAATGTATTAGATAAAAATATCATATATAAAACAGAATACAACTTTTGTACACCAAAAGTAGTGTTTTCTATAAATTCTAAGCAAATTTTATATTGATGCACTAGGATGAATCTTACACTATTTTCTACAGGCTTAGATATCCCAAATGAGGGCTGGGCAGGGGAATTAACTGGTTTGGATTCCACTGGTTTACTTGGACTGAAGGAATATTTCTCCTCTTGGAGCCCCTTGGTGGGGGTAGGGTTGACGGGGCTAGCGATTTTGTTTGTAACCTGAGAACGGTTGGTAACCTGTGTGGTTCCTAGATTCTGTCCAACTTGGAAGTACTGATACCGTAAACACTGTTGGGAAAAAAAACAGTGTTTAATACAATGATAATTTTTTTTCTATACGTAGTCACAAGTAATACAATAGAAAACCACAGTATTTATGAGCTGTATGACTGGAATTTATAAAGAATGATATTTCTTTATCTAAAATTGATGTTACCTGACTGGCATTAGGTCTTTTTTGCGGATTCCACAGTAGCATATCCTTCATTAAGTGGATAGCTTCATTACTAGCGTTTGGTATTAGAGTCTTTAAATTATTGGCAACACACTGTGGCCATCTAAAGTTCATAGCTGCTGCCAGTTTATATCCCTCATCCCACTCTTCCTGTACAACAAGAAAACATGATTCAAATTAAATTTAAATCAAATTAAATTTGAATTTGCCTTCAGAAATTTACAAATACAACTTCTCTGGGATTTGAAGAGAAAAATGGATTTTTATTATTACCTTCTTTGGTGTGCCCAGCACAGAACATATTTTAAAAATCTCATCAATTTCTGAGCTTCCTGGAAATAAAGGCCTCAGGGTGTATAGTTCAGCCATGATACAGCCCACTGCCCATATATCAATGGGCGAGCTGTAGCTGACGGACCGTAACAACACTTCTGGTGCCCGATACCTGAAAATAAAGGTAAAACAAAGTCAGTAGGCATAAAAAAAAACTTTGCATGTGCAGGACAAGTATCTTTTTTTAAAATCTTAATAAGAATTTATAAAACAAAGATAAACATGTATTTGTACATGTATATGAAATATTATTGTCTATCACTGCCACTATTTGAAATAATTGTGGAATTATTATTGTTTGTTGGGGACAATCCCTAGGCAAATGTAAGATGATTTTAGAGGTACCCCATATTAACTCTGGAATTTACATTTATGCAATCAATAACTCTGTCATTAAATAGGTTCAATGAATCCTCTATTCTGTATAGAAGAGTTACCCACAAAATTATGTACCAAAGAAGCAGTAAAACTTTAGTTGCATACAAAACATTGATCCCAAGAAATTAAGATACCTCTAGTACTGCATCTATCCGTCTTATTATCCATTACTTGTATGTGCTTTTTAATCAATCAAACATAAGACCAGTATTATTAAGATAAGTGCATTATCAGACTTCAGGTTTACATTTACTTTATTTATGAAATATCAAAGTTAATTAACAAACACAATTTCACTCTGACTTCCTTTACTTTAAAAAATCTATAAAAGAAATGAAAAAAAAAAATATCTTGAGACAGAATTTTTCATTTTATCTTCTTTTCAACTGGTCCTTTTTGTAATAACTTCTGTATATTCCACAAACTTAGACTCATGTACATGTATTATCGATAAATTGTGTAAAAAGTACATGTTTATCTTTTAAAGAGGCCTTTTTTAAGCAATATGAAACTGGCTGTAAAAACATTTACTTTACGCAGATTTTTAAAGGCAGAATCTGATCTCTCATATCTTTCTTTAAAGCAACATTACAAATTACCACTATTAATGGTTTTACTTTGGAGAGGAGGGAGAAGGGGGGGGGGGGGTGTATTTCCTTTTAATGAACTGATAAGTAAGAGCAAACTATTTTGTCCTCATCAGCAAACTTGTTAATGTATAATTAATATGCTGCAATGATGTTAAGTGGAGAAAACTAGATGATCTTTAAACCTGTCAATTAAATTATTTCTTTGTCCAATAACCAGCATAATGACTTCAAGGAAAGACCTCGTAATTTATCATAAATGAAGAAATTAGAAATATCCTCTGCATGAACTCCTTGACTCAATACCATATAGAAGAATGGCCTGTCTTCAGAAGTATATATAATCAATGAACACCTACCACCGAGTTGACACATAGTCTGTGTAGGGTGGCCTTGACCTTATTTCTCTAGCTAATCCAAAGTCAGCGATTTTGACACAGTCTGAGCCTGTGCATAGCAGATTTTCTGGTTTTAAATCTCTATGGAAGAAGCCTGCAAATAAAAAGTTGAATAAGACAACAGTAAGAAAATATAAACACAATAAATATTCTTTTTAAATGTTTTAAAAGCCATCTACATTGTACGTCCTAAATATCTTGTGTACTTAGGGTACATGTACATGTATGTTATATCTGTGATTACATAACTTGTCAAGTGTTGTTTTAAATAAAATCAATATATGAAAAAATCTATTGAACATAAACTTCATTCCTGTGTTTTAATTCTCTGAGATATAAAATAATCAATGTTCATCAGATCTTAGTATTATCGTACCATGCTTGTGCATGAAAGCCAATCCCTGAAGAACTTGGTAAATGACATTTCTGATCACAGACTCTGGAAATAATTTGTCTCTGAAAATGAATTAAGATGTCTATTTAATCAACTGTGGCAGATTTTTTCATTAAATATTGTAAGCTTTTATTCTAAATGAGTTCAATTTATAAAAAGATTTAATTAAAAAAAAAAAAATTGATATATATGACTTTATTGAAATTTTATGAATGAAACATTTCATTTGCTTTATAATAAACTCTAAATGAAATATTAAAAAAAAAAAAAAGAAAAAGAAGGAAAATTAAGAAAATAAATAAGTCAATATAGTGTAATTTTATCCTTCATTTTAAATTAGATATCTTTTTTTAAATATATCTGTACCTAATGATTTTTTTGGATAAGTTAATATGAAAAATTAATTTACTCCACTGTAATATACATGCATTACACCAATGTCTAACAGTGATTAATCTTTGTGTATTGTTTGTACCATAGACAAGAAATTATTGAATGATGCTGTGTTGCCCGTGGCTGAGTAAATATTATCACTATTAACATTGATACACCGTACAACTGGCTGTCCTGGTCATTCAATATTGATGGATTTCTCTACCAAACGCGTTTAGCTCAGTGTGTATTATGTATTGATTAACTTCCTGTTATATATCTATGCATCATTCACAGTGGTATAGACATGAAATCTGTTTGCATGCATTTCAATAGGGCTGTTCACTGATTTATGCTGTACTTTTGGTGTTATGTAACTTTAAAATTTAAAGATCAACCCGTAGGAAAATATTTACCATAATTAAACTGGGTGGAGTCGAGTCTCATTATCGATTTAACGATTCCCTTGCAATGTTTTTTTACATTGATATATCAACTATGTTTTAATAATCAAATGCAGGCATATTGAGAGAATTTTTCTTTAACTTTTCAATATCTAATATTGTTTAGGCAGCTCTAATATTTGCACCAGAGCTATGTAGGAATCAAGATGAAATTTCCTCCTCACCTACTCAACATATTTACGGTAATACTACTCTAATCTATATTAAGTCTCTGACTATCTTTCTCACCTGTCTTTCATCATCTGGTACAAGTTTTCTTTCATAAACTCAAACACAAAGAACAACTGGTCATTTTCTCGAATGACTTCCTTCAGCCTCACTATGTTGGCATGGTTCAGTTTCCGTAAGGACTGTAAAAATGAACAAGAAATTATGTAAGGACACCTTCTTCAATCTTACATTATTTTGATAATTTGTTAGTGTCAAAATTGTACCTAATTCTTTTTTTGAAAGACACTTCTGAACCTTTCAGTTAGCAAGAAATTCATTCAATCAGTATTAGCAAGTAGCAAACATTCTTAAGATAAATTGACAAGTACAGCGAAATGATTTTTAACTCCCATGATTTAAAATATTTTGTGAACATAAGTTTAACAAATATAATAAATTTCACTTCAAACAAAGCAAATTCATGAAATACAATACCTTAACTTCTCTTAAATTCAGACATTCATCCCATGAGTAATATTTTTTCTTCATTCTACAATGGAGGAAAACATTCTATAATGGAGGAAAACACAATGTAATAGTGATCAACCAGCACCCATAAATAAACAATTTAAATGTTTATCCCATTAATATAAATTTCATCCTGACATATCACATTTTTCAAATAAAGACCTTAGGACCATTCTGGGGGCCCTCCTTATAGCCCTTATGGCTACACATTATGAACAGCTGAATCTACAATTTTCTAAAGTCTTATTTCATAATTTTCATGCTTAATGGAATTTTTGTAAGACATCTTTATCCAATATATTAATTTAAACAATATTTTTTTTTTAATTAACCCCCCCCCCTCCCCTTTTGAAAGTGGACTTAGTATTTGAATGAATCATATCCAAATCCTTTACCAGATACTGCATTATTTTGTATTGGACAAATTTTTTTATGGGTATCTAAGGAAAGTTTTATCCAAGAAACTGAAAGAACATTTGTCAGAGTAATACTCCTTGATGATGGAATTTGATTTGTGTGGGTCTCTAGAGGGTGTATTTCAGTTATGAACATGTCTCAATTTCAGAAAAAAAAGATTGATTAAAGTGTTCAGAATTGGACAGTAGATTGATGTCTACAAAGAGAAATACAAGTTCCTCTCCTATCATACACATGCCTATTGCTTTATCTAGTATAACACCTACAATCACAGCAGGAACTGTCCCCTTCTTGTCTCTACAAGTATTTTATTACCCTTTCTCCTAGACAAATATTTATTCAAATTTTACTGTATATGCAAAGAATTTCAAGATCAATACCTTTTATTAAAAAACTGAATGTATATACATATGTTAGTTCAAAATTTTATCACTCAGTGACCTTGATTTCATACATACTGACTTGCCTTGGCAAAAAGCCCTAAAATGGAACTTTTCACGAGCAGAGGTATTAAGAGGTAATCTTGGGACTAAAACTTATGGCCTACTTTGCAGATAAACCAAAACGAAAATATCAAGCATAAAAGCATTAAACCTTACTAAGTGTTTTTGTAAATCATCATTTGAATACACAGACTGTCAGTCTGATTATTGAATGAATGTAAAAGAATTTTGGAAATGTATCAATTTTAATATCTGTTTTTCAAAAATAATTTATAATCATTTTTCCATGTTTTATAACTCTGTAAATATTAACTTGGCCATACATCAAATAATTATCAATATTTCTCCAATGAATTTAAAATGGGACAACAGTATTTGTACTATACCCATATTACTTTACTGTTTACTTTGCATTTTCTACCAAAAAAATTGCACCTATGCAAGATATATGATCAATTATATATTGCCTTGCCTATGCTATAAATATACCAAATTCTCTCTCTCTCTCTCTTGAGGTTTTTAAATACATGTATACCAAAAGTTAAAATTTATTTTTCACCTGTCTCCAAAGCCCTTTTAATAATGTACATAAGAATTTACACTTTATCTGACCTACAAGAACTAATGCAGAGGTTTACAAGATACTCGATTTAGACCAGGTTAACAAAGTTCTATATGTCACTGACTGTTAAAATTGTAAATGCTAAGGGATGTCATTGATGATAATTATGTTCCCCAAACGAAGTTGGGGAACATATTGTTTTTACTCTGTTTCTTATTATTATTATTATTTTTCTTCTTCCTGGGAAAATTTTGTCCACGAGTGATCTTGTAAACTACACATCCGACTAAGGTAAAATGTTTTTTAGGTCAGTAGACATGTTATGTAGATTTGCCGAACGAAGGTCATTTTGCGTGCACGTGCTTGCAAGAGCGCGCACGTGCAACACATGAAATGACCAATATTATGTATACTGCCGTAGCTTTTCTATTTTTTGATGAAATGTTTTGAAACTCAAAATGTAAGGATATATTAGTAGTATAAACAAGATGACGTGGTCAATATTGCAAGATCTCACGCGCTTGCACGTGCGCTTCGCTCTGATTGGCTGAAACTAAAGTCTCAATATCTTTCTTGTTTCTCGTCATAATCATTTGAAATTTTGAACTTAGTCACATATTATGAAGATCTACAGCACGACGTATAAGAATTTTCATGAAAGCAGGTACATGCACGTGTGCTTGCAAGAGCGCGCACGTGCAACACGTGAAATGGCCGGTTTAATTGATATAGACGTATGGTATCTATTTACATTTTTGATGAAATGCTTTGAAACTCATAATGTAAAAATATATTTGTGGCATAGACAATACGACATGGTCAAAATAGCAAGATCTCACGCGCATGCACGTGCACTTCGCTCTGATTGGCTGAAACTAAAGTCTCTATATCTTTCTCGTTTTTCAACAAAATCTTATGAAATTTCGAACATAGCAATGCATTAAGATATCCCACAACATGATATATAGCAATTATCTTGAAATCACGTGCATGCACGTGCGTTGCAATCTGATTAGCTGAAATTTTAAATAGCTATAACTCCCTTGGTTTTCAACCAAACTGGATGGGATTTGGAACATAGATAGATATAATGAATTTCTACAAGAAGGTATGGTCCCCATGCACATGCATACACGTGCGTGTACGTGCGCTGTAATCTGATTGGCTGAATTTTTAAACACCTATAACTTCCTTGGTTTTCAACCAAACGGGGTGGGATTTAGAACATAGATATATGTAATGGACATCTACAGGAAGATATGGTCACCATGCTCATATATGCACGTGCGTGCACGTCAAATGAGTTGAATAAAAAATACACTTGTATGAACGTATTTTTAATACTTTTGGATTAAATACTTTAATATTTATTAAAGTCTCAAATGCATAGATTCTGTCCTATTTAAGGAAGCTTACAGGGAAAATGGCACCAAAAGGGAGTTGGGGAGCGTTTGGGGAACATCTGTAACGGTCCCCGTTACAATTAACACTAGTTTGATACATGTAATACCCTAGGACAAATGAAACATATACAATGCTTGAACATGTTGAAGATCCCCCCTACCCCTTGCAAAAAAAAAATACAAACAAAGAGACCTTACATAATAGGATACTGAATTTCATCTAAAATCTCAAAGAATTAGCAGGCAATTTTGCTCTAGAGTAAATTACTTCTTTGAAAAATTACAACGTATGTAGTGTAGCCTGGTAAATGTAATCAACTCATAGCAGCCTGTCTTTACAGCTTTAGGCTACCTATTGCAAATGTGTAATGGCTTGCTGCTGTATACAGCACTATACCATGTATGCATTAATTACTTAATTAAACCTGTAGCTTAATTCTTTAATATTGGAAATAAATTCTCCTCGACTTGAAAAAAAATGTTTGAAACCTTCTACTTTTCAAAAGTGTAACAAAACTGTTTGAATATTTCATAACAAATACATGCTGACTGCATATTACAAATTATGACAAAATGCAAGTCAGATGTTAAAAAACTAACAAGCATAAAAAATAATCAAACGACAAAATGTTCTGAAAGTTTTAAAATCAATATAAAAAATTGACATTTAATCAAATTGATGAGTAGAAGGTATGGATTTTGTGAAGGCAATTTTATGCAGTATGTAGATTTAATTACAAGAAAGCAGTGGATCAATCCAGCCATGACTAACGAGATTGATTTGCGGAACTTACTTTTTGATTGCCACTTTTTCTCCTGTCTCAGCACTGTTGGCCAGCAACACACTTCCATAGGTCCCATCCCCCAACTGTTTTATTATCTGGTATCGATTCATTTTCTTGTAAAATATATATCAATAAACTATAAATCCTTGTTATAATGAGATAAAATCCAATGTATATTGTCAAGATCCATGAGTATCTATCTGGGGACAGAAAACTCCATGTTCTGTCCTGTGTCTGTTTCTTTTGTCATATCATATCTGGGAGTTACTGACCTGCAAAAGATATAAAAGGATATGTATATAAGAACACTATATATTATAAATATACAAATGTTTAACTTTAAACTCCAAGGGACTACATTAAAATGTTTATTTTGCATAATGTAAAACTTTTATTCTTTCAAAATATGAATACATACTATGTATGTCCACCATACAACTGACAAAAGTTCTGATTTACAAAAGAATCGGATGAAAAATTTAATATGTAATTGAAGAAAACACACTGGTGGTGTTGTCCGTTATTTTAATTTAATTTTTATCAATTTTAATGATTCGGTATACAATACATATAAATTATTGATAAACTAAAGCTTGTTTATGGTAATCTGACTTTTTTCTCTTGGATATTAATGAAGCATTATTATTCTAATCTAAAAGTGTGAAATATGCATGAAAGAGAATGTAATAATGTTTTTTTTTTCAACAGACGACCTCATTTAATAATTTTAGTGAAAAGAAAGTAAATACACTGATAAAACTAACAATGTTGAAGGAATATACTAAAATTTAATCCAAGCAAAACTTTTTAATTTTTTAAAAAGTGAAAAATGCTAACATCAGCAAATAATTGATAAACTTTGAAAAAGACCTACATGATACTCTTGCTCAGATTTAGTCATTAATCTTCTTTCCTAAGCAAATTCACTTTAAAAGATAAAATAATTTTTTATCATCCTAAAATCATTTAATTCTTGAAGAATTTGTATTTAGTTCTTACATTAACATGGATAATATAAACAGACAGGGAAATATATCGTGTAAATAAATTGAAGCATTCGGTTTATAAAGTATTTATTAGACACATTTTCGTAAAATATAAAGGAGATTTGCGTGAAGTCAACAAAATTTAGTGTTAACCACATTATCTTCTCCAATTTATTCCGCTAACTTGAAGGATCATGACTTAATTTCAATGGTATTTTTAGTTAATACTAAGACAAGTGACGAGCTACATTTAATTAATTCATATTTTTGTTCTAAAACCCAATATTCGGCAGACATACATATCTGTAAATCGTGAACCGAAAGAACTCGGTACTTACCGCCGCCATGACAGTTTATTGTTGCTATTTTGACGATTGCTGTCACGTGACTAATAATAGCAACGAAATTCGAGTTACTTCCCTTGTATCATTTGTGAAAAGCTCCCATTTAGCGAATTTACTATGCTAAAACAACTGTTTGGAATTCATTTTATCATATTTTTTTAAAAGTCGTTATTTATAAATTTGTTATAACAGATTATATTTGGTTTAAACGATAAAATAAATTCATAAATTAAAAAGTTAATATTGTAATTTTTTTTATACCGAATTAAACAATCAAAAGAATTTCACACTTCTTTACATCGAATTTTTAAACATTAACTCGCCAGCACCTCATTAAGAGTTTAAACCCTACCATCTCCTTTATAAGCTGTTTATGAAAGGCCTAAAGTTACGATAGAGAGAGTTAGATTTTGTTAACATTTTTATGTCCCCGTAAACGAAGTTTATGCCCTGTCTGTCTCTCTGTCTGATTGTCTGTTAGTCCGCAAAAACTTTAACCTTGCCCATAACTTTCGAGATGATGGGGCTGTGGCTTTCATATTTCACAGGTGTATTCCTTGTGAGAAGACCTTTCTTTGGGTACCACCAACTTTGACCTATTGGCCTTGACCTTGGAGCTTGATTACCTTTACAAAAAATACCACACTTTAACCTTCAACTTAACTTTTGAACAGTTGCAGCTAGGGCTTTCATACTTCACATGCACAGTGTATATATCATTGGACATGTGACAATAAGACCTTTCAGTTGCTATAAATATTTTTGACCTTTTGACCCTGACCTTAGAGTTTGACCCACTTTTAGAAAAAAAACTTTAACCTCGGCCATAACTTTTGAACAGGCAGTCCGGCCTAGGGCTTTCATATTTCATTGGTGTGTTCCTTGTTACTAGACCTTCCTGTTTAGGTACCAACGCTTCGGACCTTTTGACCTTGATTTTCTTTTGAGAAAATTAAACCCTCGCCATAAGCTGCCATATGGGGGCATCAATGTCTCACAAACACATCTTATTCATTCTTATACCCGTGTACTTTCTTTTAATGTCAAAATAGCTTTGGTTATTTCGCAAATCGTGTCCGGATAGGGCCTAGCTCAACAGCGCGTTCAGAAAAACACGCTGTCGCGCTAACACACAACACGCTGTCAAGCTAACACGAGTTCGCACAACATGCTGACACGCCGGCTAACACACGACATGCTGTCACGCTAACACGAGCAAACGGAGAATCCGTCAACAATTTAGTATGTAAATAACAATTTGTTTGAAAAAAAACTAGAGGTACTGTGAGCAATGAGCTCACTAAATGATACCTCCCGCCTCCCATATGATTATAATGGCAAAAGTCCATGTTTTGGGGTGGCCGGGAAACCCAAAATATTTGTCGGATCAAAAAATAAAATAGAAGGTGCACAATGGCAATATGTAATAAAGATTCTGTGAAAGTTTCATTAAATTTCACTCAGTGGTTTATGAGGAGTTGAGGATAAGAGATGGGTACCCCAAAGCGTAACAGACGGACGGACGGACGGAAGGACGGACGGACAGACGGACGGACGGACGGACGGACAAACCCAAATTAATATCCCCCACTTTTCAAGCGGGGGACAAAAACTTCATTCAGCATTTGACTTATGATAGATTGTATTTGCTGACAAGATCATTATATCGACCGTAGAACTTACGAATCAAACTGTGGTAATTTTTGTCTGAAAAGTCTGTTGTAACACTTTCGTTTCCACAAGATATCTCGAGAACCATTTGAGCTGTTGCAATGAAATTTTACATAGCAACTCCCTGTGGCCTAATGAAGACCCCTATTGATTTTGAGGTCAAAAGGTCAAAGTTCAAGGTCTTGTTTATACATTCTGTCTATACATTTCCGGGCGATATTTCAAGAAGATTTTGAGCTTATGCAATGTAATTTTATACCAAAACTCCCTAGGACCTCTCTCACCCCTCTCAAAGTGCCCCGCCCCGTTTGTTTTATTAGTATTTATAGTATTACATGTCGCTATTTTTAGCACAGGGGCATGAGGAGAGTTATTGCGTATAAAACAGGTTCTCGGCGGACATTTTGTTCTTATTACATCTATTAGAACTGTTTGGTAAAGGCTAAATAAATCAAACACCATGGATTGTGTAAAATTTTGACAATATCGAACATGACTATCTACATGTATGTGACTTCACTTCTGCATATACTTAATGCCATGTAAAGCGATTCCGTGGTCTAGTGGTATGTTTCTCGCTTCGCATGTGAGAGGTCCTGAGTTCAGGTCCCGGATGGACCACTTTTTTTTTTTTCAAGAAATACTTTTTTTTTCGCATGTGAGAGGTCCTGAGTTCACTAAATGATAGGCCATATTTCAGACTATGTGGGCAAAAAATGTGTGGTTGAATTTCTTTCATATCATATATAAAGAGAGATTTTGTATCCTAGAACAAAATATCAAAGTTTCAGAAAAATTGAATTTGAGGAAAAATCTTGGCCTATTTATTGTGTCCTACTATGATTGGGAGTCTAGGCCATGCTTTTAATCTTGAAATATAATATAATTATGACTTGGTATTCTGCACTCAAAATAAGCATGCAAGCAATTATAGATTGATATACCCTATATATTAAAGTATATTCATGAATATTTTACCGTCTACAATGTATGTTTATACCGGTATATTATTTTGAATAAACATAACTGTTACATATAAATGTAATTCATGACTGTAATTTTAAAAAGTTTATTAAAATACCCACGCACAAGATTTTCTGTTGAAATTTACAATATACATGTAACAAAAGAATTTGTACTCGCAGCGTTAGTTTATATACATTTCACGATTTAATGACCGCAGTAGAGTAATGAATGATGAATACGTAATTAAATCACGTGAGCATGATGTTTGAACATAATTCACAACTGAATTCACAAAGCAGTAACAGGTAACTGCGCAGCAGACTTTCAGATCAGTTCATTACATTTTTCAGTCGAAAGTGCATTACAGGAGCCCAGAGATGATAAAAAATTGAGGTAAATATTCTAAAGCTGTTGTAATAAAAAATGTTTAAGAATTTTTTTAATTTCTCTGAGGAAGGTTGTATATTTTGACATCCCCGCCATTTTCAAAGGGTATTTTCCCTGGTCAGTGGTCAAACGACACAACTTCCAGATCTCCTTAGACAGCTGTAGATAGTTTTACAAATGACACAAAATAGTCTGCAATTTTAGGGGAAATGTAGTTACAAGGGAATAAATAGGACAGGATATATTCGTCGCATTTAATCTTGCAAATATGCATTAAAATTAAAAAAAAAAAAGGCTTTCGGTTAAGAGGTTTTTCACATTTTCAAAATGCAATAGAATCCATAAAAATCAACCGAATACATGAAAAATTGAAACGCATTTATTTCTTTAAAAAAATTTTCTTAGACACCCCCCCCCCCCTTTCCAGTAACCTTGCAATGTCGCTTATATAACAAGACAGGTTTGAGACATAAATATTTTGTCCTGCCCAGAGGTAGAGCATATTCTAGATTAATTGCTAAAATTGTTTTATAATTGGGGGATTGATTAATACATAAATTTATTATTTGTTTCTTGCATGCATTTGTAATTTATTTGCATCGGGATCGAAATTGTGAGTTTTAAATTTTGACATGTGGCGCGAACAGCAAATTTGGCATCAGTGGACGGTCAGGTGAGTTGGTTGGGGAAAACAGTTAACATTATTTGAAATAACATTTGTCAGATTCAGATGCACGTATTGATAAAACGTTGATAAAGTATTTTTAAGCTGCGGAAAGGGACAGCTTAAAACCTACAGGTGAATTAATCTATAAAACAAAAAAGTGAAATATCGTTTGAAAATGTATTGTGCTTTTAGACTCTGCATAAGTTTGGGACATCAGATCCTAAGTGGGGTTAACTTTGCCCTGAATCAACTGTGTATTGATAATGCAAATATTTTTACTGACAGGCATTTTTAGGGTGTCGAAGGGGCCTGTTTTTTGCTCCATTCATAATGGCAAAAAGTATGTGTTTTCCCAATTTCACCAAAGAAAATTTCCAACAGACAATCAAAACAAACAAAATTTGGTTATAAAATGTTTGGACTCTGTAATGTATAATCTAATTGATGTTCAAATAAATATATAAACAACGTGCTCCAAATACTGATTGAGTGAATGTTGAAGTATTGTATGTATAAACTGACAATGATAGTAATTGTTTATATTTGTATTCAGCATTAATCATACAAGACTTACGATATTATAATACGCAATCTCTCCTGCAATACAAGTGACTAGATCTACACACCACCATGCACAACAGACGACAACTTACTCACACTTGCGCATCGCACACAGTGTCAAGTTAACACATACCTGCACACACTCATACCACACTAAACTCCCCTCCCTTTTGAAAAAGAGGGAGGTACTCCTGTACCTTAATACATCATATGCAAGTAAAAAAGTCAATGAGTACCTTGCAAATAAAAGATAAACTATTATTTATTTACATAAATAGAAAAATGACAAAATTATAGTTTTTTTTTAAATTTCAACCAAATGTCACTTTTTTCTCAAATGGAATAGCCCAGCCAATTGATGTTTTGCCCCCTTTCCGGATTCTGCTGGAAATCAAGCGGTGAGGTTGTCGGCATGACATTTTACTTGCATAAATTTATTCATCAAATCAGAGATGGCATAAAAAATATGCATTTTAATCATTTTTTTGCTCACCAATATGAAGTGGACAGGAATATTAGTAACACCCATGGGATCAGTGCAAGTGTTGGTGTCCCAGATGAAAGTTTTTGGAGCAGACTTCTTTTTAAGTACATCTATGCCCTAGCCCCTAAGGGATGCATGTAAGATGCTTCAAGTATGTTTCATTGTACCAACCAGGGTTTCAGAGACTGCAATTTCAGCTAATTTAAAAGAATGATCAGGTTAATGTTTTTGAAGCAGGTGTCATTTCCAAGTATTTTGACCAAACTTACAAGAATCGAACATGTACATCCAAAATAAAATATATGGAAGT